GGGCTGCCAGTTAACATCCTGATAGGTTTCTCACTGGCCACTGCTTAATTGGCTGGACTTGGCTAATTGGATGTAATACCTGTTTCTGTCACAGTCCTGTCACTTGTCTGCTCGATGCTGCTGTGTGTGTGGGTTTAAAAATGTTCCGTCTGTGGCCTTTGATGGAAACAAAAATCCACTAAAACATTTCTGTTTCTCGACAGCTGCCTTCATTCTTTCTTGAACCTTCCACGATTCCTTCAAACATCTCCTCTACTACTTTTTTCTGCTATATTTTTATTGAAAACTGTTGATAAATGTATATAAATAGTACCATGCCCACCCAGATCACTTTGTCAGAACATTTAAACCACCTTTTTTGAACCAAAGGATCACCTGAACAAAGCATTAAGTAAAGTCAGTAGCATCTCATGATCTGTACAGCTTTCAGATGCCCTCCTCCACTGCAGGTCCTCCTGGGGCCAGTGGTTTGGGGCACATGTTGAAGTGCCCTCGAGCAAGACCCTGAACCCCAGGTTGGCCCACTTTGAGTTCACAGAATGCATAGAAAAGTTCTGTATACAGTAAGTGTAGGTCCATTCACCTTTTGTTTCTCTCTGTTCCCTCCCTTCTCTACATCTTTCTTCTCTCCTTAAGTGTAGGTCCATTCACCTTTTGTTTTTCTCTGTTCCCTCCCTTCTCTACGTCTTTCTTCCCTCTGTCATGTGTTTCTATGGTTATTAGTTTGCATTTATTTGTTGGTCCCTCCTTTCCTACTTCACATTTTCTTGCTGGTCCTCTTGTTTTTCCCCTCCTCCATTCAGTCAGTTCCTTGTCAACCCCTTCCTTTCTTGCATCTGTCCTTCCTTGTTCCCTCCTTTCTTTCCTACCTGCTGTTTCCCCAGTTTTTCTTGAATCGATTCCTCTTTCATCAGATTTCACTGCCCGTTTTCCTTTTCTGTCTCATTTCATGAACTACTTTTTCTTGTTTCCCTTCTTTTCTTCTCCCATATCACTCTCCCCCTCTTCCTCTCCCCTCTTGTTCCTCTCATCCTCCGGCAGACCTGACTGGTTGTTTTCACATTGTTTAGTTGCAATTAGAGCTGCAGCAGCCTGATCACTGCGATCACTCTGCAGTGACAGCCATTAACCAGAACCACCGCGGTTTGTGTGTGTATGTGCATGTCTTATAGTCAAAGTGTACTTTTGTATTTGTGTTTTTGTGTGTGTGTGTGTGTGTGTGTGTGTGTGTCCATTAGCTGCTTGGCCGCAGCGCATTAACAGTCCATTCATTATCTGTGTGAATCTCCCTCTGCACTTAAAGCTTTGATCCATAAAACCTCCAAACAGCAGACTGAGGTGTGAACCTGCTGAATAATTTCTGTTCGCTGCTTCACAGCACAAACACACACAAACAGGTTCAGCATCACATGCTTCACACTCTTCTGTGAAATTTTAAATTATTCAGTGTATGTCTGTTCAGTGCAGCTGAACAATGAACCCAAACTAACAGCGAAGTACAAATCCTGCAAGATCCAAGAGCCAAAATGGTTTCCAGTGTCCCAGAGACAAGTCAGACTTCTGAGGAAAGTCCAGTTCAGATCACAAGTGAGTGTAAACATGCAGTGTCACCTCAGTGTGAAACTAGATCAAGACGCCCCAGTTTTTAACATGGCTACTTTTAGCATTAGGCTGCAGATGATTTCAGTCAGTCTGAGATTCACCGTCCCCTTCACTGATTCGGTGTTGTACCTGTGATCATTTGCAGCTTTGCAAACAAAACAACTCCATGTATCTGAGCACGAGGCCCCATTTAGAGCCACCACCCGACAGCTTGATGGTGTTGTGTAGGAAATAAGCAATAATCTGTGCAGTAAAAAATCCTGAACGTGGCTTTACTATGTGCTCATTATCTGCTTGTGCTCTTTAATGACAATCAGATGCATGGTCTAATTACTGCCACACACAGACACACACACACACACACACACACACACACGCACACACAAGGGAGCGGGAGGTGGGGGGGCAGCCTGCAAGGTCAGCCAAGGGCATCGTGTTTATAAGTGTGTGTGTTTATCAAGGAAACAAAAACAGATGACACAGTGACTAAGGGCAGAGGGTAGGTGTGTGCTTGTGTGGTTTTACACTGTGAGGACCAGTTTTATATTTAATGATTTTAACACTTCTGTTTCTAAGCTGCCCCAGCATAGTGTAAATACTGTGATATTATTTCAACCACTTGATTGAAAGTGTTCGATGTTTCCTAGGAACAAGAGTTAGACACGATCCGGTTGTTTGTGACCTGGACAGGAGGTAAATCCAGGGCGTCTGGAGACTGTTGGTTCACCTGTGAGCCAAGCCACACTGGCTGATATGAACTTGATGTTTAACAGAATAAATACATGAATGCCAATATCTACAAGAATTGATTACACAAGCTGATTACAAATAAATTAGTTGATGTCAGTATATTGAATCCATCACACAACCTTTTTGTAGCTCTTAATGAGACTTCAACTCGTCTTGACAGACTGATCTCTCAGGTGCAATGGGCTGTCAGTTTCAGCTCTGTCCATAGGTGTTGGACTGAGATCAGGACGCGCTGCAGCCACTTCAGCAGGTTCCATTGTTTTCCTCTCCTCACTGTGGTTAGAGGAGCCATGAGCTCCGCCACCCTGTTTCTCTTCAGAACGCCCTGAGCGTCTTCTGATTTCACTGTGTCCCACACAGATTCAAGATGCAGCGAAGCAGCCCTGTAACTGATCTGAGCCTCCTGCATGTTTCACAGTGAGGAAGCTGCTCTTGTCTCTAAAGGCTTCATTTGCTCCCCTGCTGTTGTGACCAGAGCTCTCTCATTTAGTGTCTTCTGTCAGACCTTGATCTTGGAGTTCAATTTGTATCTTTTTGGACGTTTTCCCTGGTTCCTTCTGCACCAGTCAAACTCTCCTTCTGTCTGGTCTGGGCTCAGTTTTCCTCTTACAGCCGTGTCCAGGAGCTCGGCTATGCTCCCACGGACCTTAAACTTGTTAATAACATGAGCAGCCATGGTTGCAGGATCATTCAGCAGCTTGGAGACGCTCTGGAGCCTTTATCTCGACCGTGCTTGGTGATTCTTTTCTTCCTGGTCTCCTCAGACAACCCTCTGTGGTTCTTCCTCATGTCCATGCATACAGTGATACACTGACTGATTATGAGACTGAAGACAGCTGTGAGTACAGAAGACCGTAGCCAGCTTGAAGTATCACTACAGTGCGCTTATTGACCACCACCTCTCAGGAGGAACAACCATTTTGTTCAGGCCATTTTACAATGTGCGATAGTCCAGCTTCTTTGTTTTACTCTCCTGCAAATCGAAGGCTGCAGGTGTGCACGACAGAAGAGCTTTTAATTTTAGGATGATTCAGTGAGGTGTAAGGGTACCAACACTTCCAGCTACATCTGTGTGTGTGTGTGTGTGTGTGTTTAAATGGAGGTAACCTTGACTAAAGGGCAAAATAAAGGGCAAATTAGAATAAATTTATCAAATTATGAAGCCTCGTACAATATTTATAACCAGCAGATTCACTATTCATTACAAAAGATTAAATACCAACTTGTATCAATAATTCATCCTCTTCATCTTCATTTTTAGTGCAATTAAAAGCAGCAGCAAATGACATATTTCACACCCGGCTCTGAGTTGGCGTGCAGTCTACTGAATGTGACTGCAGATCTGCAGGCTACTGGGGCTCCCACTGCTGAGTGCATAACGTGTTTGGACACATTTATCTAAATACATCGTCGTCTGTGGCTAATGATGGGAGCAACGATAATATGACTGAACATTTTATAACAGCTGTCTAACAGCCAGTGATACAGAAAGGTTAAATGGAAGCAGAAATACGTTCACGAGTCAACTTGAAAGACAAAGTGTATCATGATTTAAAGAATATGTTTTAGATGACTAGATAAGTAAAACATGTTCTATATACTTAAGTGGATGAAAATGATGTGATGTGTTTACCCAGCGCCGCCAGCACGGCCTGTATCACCCAGATGGTCATTTGTCCCTTCCCTCTCATACGTATCATTAAACAGCGCTCCTACAATGCCACCAAAGTTTACAAAAACATACATCGCACTACTAAGCTTTACGGATCTTTGTTGTCATGGAAACAGCCATTAACATGATGGTTAGCTAGCAGCCTAGCTAGCTAACCATCATGTTAATGTTAATCTGTTACAGCTGCCTGAACTCTATCACCTTGGAAACAGTCATAAATATGATAAACGTCATGGTTTCATTATGTATTGCCACACAGAACACTTGGTTATGATTAGGCCTGATAAACACTAGTGTAGCTTAGGGTTAGGATGAAAAAATGATTGGTCAGGCACAAAGACGATGTTGTTGCATTTAGGAACAAACCACTTGGTCACGTTTAAGGATAGAAACTCTTGTAAAACACCAGCTGTGTACAGGAGGACAGTCTCTTCAGACCTCATACTGGAGTACTAGCATGCCAGCTGGTCACAGACCTGCTCTTGGTGCCAGTTGTGTTTCCACCGTGGGTTCGACTTAGCAGTGTTACAAGTCGGTTTGATCTGAGTCTGTTTGGACAGACTGAAGGTTACAGCGGCTGTTTGTGGAGCTCTCAGCTGTGTCGCACCGTGTTCAGTGCACAGTTATCACTGAAGTGGTTACGTTGGCGTCTGAGCTCGGCAGCTGCTGTGAGCTGTTTCTGCATCTTCACGTTTTCCTCAGTGAACTGGAGTTAAAGGCCCAGAAAGAAGATCGTAAATGGACCTTCTGCTAAGGCTGCTTTGTCAACTGGAGATTTAGTTTGACTGACCTTTTGTTCTCTTTGGATTTAATTCAGCGTTTCTTCAACATCCTTCATCTCTTCCCCTCTATTAATTAATTGCTGATATGGTCGCTGTAGCAACAACAGGTGCAGTGTGAGGTCATTAATTTAGGCCTTAACGATTCTCCAGTGAGTAATATTGTGTGTGTGTGTGTGTGTCTCTTGGTGCTCATAAGACCTGGTTATTTGTGTTAACATATGTCGCTGACAAGGTGTAAGACTTTTCTCTCGTTCTGTCCTATAATCTTCATCCATCCTTCTTTTGACTTTCATTCTTTTCTTCCTTCTCTGAAAGGTAGAAAAAGATCAATCGAAGATCTTAAAAGATGTGGCAGACAGAATTATCCATCACCCTTCTCATCCTGCTTCCATCCATCCCTCCTTCCCTCTCCGTTCATTTATTCTTTTTTTAGATCCGTCACTTTTATCCCTCCATCATCCCTCTGCCTCAGATCTGTTCAATCTGTTCCTCTCAACTCCTCCCTCCATTTCCCTGACCTGTCTGTCTATTCGTTTTTTGGCTTAATCTTCTTGTGTCACTCTCCCCACATCAGTCCATCCATCCTTTACCCTTTGCCTCCTTTCCTTCCTCCTCATATCCCTGTTTCCAGTTTCTTTCCTTTCATTACCATCCCTCCATCCACCTGTCCCCCCTCCTTTCTCTATTATGTTCCTCTGTTTAATGTTTTCTTTGTCTGTTCACTCCTCCCCATCCACTCTTAACCTGTTTTCCACATCCATCCATCTTTTTCATTATTCCTTCCTCCATCCACACTTTCCCATCTTCTTTATTTGTTTTTCCTCTTACACATCTACCATTCTGTTGTTCCTTCACCCCTCCCCCTTTCCTCTCACTTGATGTCTGTTTGTCTCACATCCATCCCTTCTTTTCTTGCTTCTCTTTGTCTTGCTTTTCCATCCCTCTATCCAGCTCATCCTTCTTTATCCCCTTTACTAGTTCCTCTTTATCCATCTACTTGTACCTCCTTTCATCAACTCTTTCTTATCTCCTTGCTCCATTCCTAATCAGTCCGTCCTTCATCTCCTTCCCCTCTAACCCCCTCTTACACCTTTTTCTCTCATCCATCTGTTCTTCCATTCGTCCTTCAGTCCTGGCGTCCTTCTCTCCACTCTACCTTTGTATGAGCTTAGACCTTTAGATTCACATATGGTCTTATTTCCCTCATCCTGGATCTCTCCCTGCATCCCAGGTCTCTCCAGTCATCCTCCACGTCTCTCTCCCCTTTCTCTCCCTCTCTCTTTCTCTCTGTCCGTCCATCTGAAGAGGTGTGATTCATGTAAATGTCAAGAAATATCAGAGCCGGGGTGGTGGGATTAGGCGGCGAGGAGAAGATACACTGATACCAGCAAATATAACACTCTGACAAGACGGCCATCACCGGGGATTAGGACACACATGCACTCAGTGCACACACACACGCCTCTGGGTGTGTTCAGACACATCGAAAGGGTTTAGGTGTGTCATATGAGAACATTTTGTTCCAGCAGTGGATTGTTTCATATTAAAGAATTGTTGTGCATGCGTGAAGATTTTCAAATGACATTTGTAGTGTTTTGTTGCATATTGAAGATGAAACTAAAGGTTTTGTGTGTGTGTGTGTGTGTGTGTGGTAACAATAAGTGAACACAGAATGAGAGAAGGAGCGTGAGAAGGGTAGAAAGGTGTTTAATACGAGTGTGAAAGCAGTGTAATATTTAACAGCTTAGTGGGATTTGTCTGTCACATTACAGGGGATTGGACTGGTCTGGTAGCACACACACCAGCTGAGAAGCTGAATGGATGTGTTCGGTGACAGCTGCTGAGTCTGAAGTTCAGTCTCTGGACTGTCATCACTCAGATATTATAAAGCTGTCTTCATGTTTAGGCAGACGATATATTACAAATGTGAAGAAAATGTGACACAAAGAACAAAGTGTTTTCATATCTGGAGGAGAGAACGGAGAAAAACGCCCCACTAAATAGAATTTCAAGGTTTACAGTGAAATTTCTCAAAGAAATAAAAAGGTTATTTACAAGAAATGCATTGAAACCAAACTGTTGATCTGTTGTTATACTGTAAATGTGATTTATAACCCATGTAACTCTCACATTGGTCACCTTTGTTACTGGTTCAGGTGGATGACGCTCTCAGCCAGAGCGGCTCGGCTTTTTGTTTGTGCAGTTACTGAGCTGAACCCTGAAACTTTACGGCATTCGCCATTATTTTTTAATAACCTCTCTGCTGCTCTGAGGTCATGTTCTCTGTGCTTTTGAGGTGAATGTGAGGGTTTTAGCAACCGGAGGGAGTTTACATTCCACATTTAAAAATAAAAAATAGCATCCAAAAGGTTTTTTTCAGTGTTGCTCAACTAGAATTGTGTTTCTGGAAGCAACACTTAGACATTTGTGTCGGTAACTGAACAAGAAAAGGACATAATGAAAAACTTGCTCTAATATTTTTATTTCATATATTTTCTTTCTTTCTTCATTCTGGGAACAGGGTGGATGAGACAGGGACACTTGGACTTCTCAGCGTATTGTAGCTTATTTCTTATTTGCATTTTATTTTTACTTATTAAATAACAAACTCTAACTGTTTAATGGCTGTTTACATTCTGAAAATGACAAGACCGTAATTATTTGATAACTAAAGGCATTTTATGAGCATTTTATGAGCTCTGTGTGAATCCTAACAGAATGTCTCAGTGGTTCAGAGATTGTTTCCTAAAACTGTCTTTTTTAAACAACAAGGACAAATAATAAGACAAAGTGTTGTACTAAAAATGTTTTTGTCTTCAAGTTTCCTGTTGGTCACTGACCCAACAGGTTCTAAAATGCCAAAGTAAACATAATGGACCTCACTGGTCCACATCTTGTTTTTAAATAACATTTATAAAATCTATTTTTACCTACTTCAGGTCTGATCGGTGTCCTCTGAGGATAACACACAGTACCAAGCCGGCCTCACTGTGTAGTTTATCATTTTCTTTTTTTAAAAGTCCAGAGAGTCTGAAACATTTCCCCTGGGGAGAGGGATGAGGGGGAGGTATGGGTGTGTCGTGGAGGGTGAGGTGACGGGGTGAGATTAGAGCGTGTCCCTTTGGACACGGGGGGACACAAATCCTCTTAGAGAGCTGAACCAAACAGCCCTGAGCGTGCACACACACACACACAGGTGTACATAACGTCACAGAGACACACTTAAACCCTCGTACATCAACATTTCTGACACGCACACAACACAAGCAGCATCTCCCTGTGTTTCTGGGTAAATTTTAATCACAAGTAGGTTGTTGTTGTTGCTGTGTGTGTGTGTGTGTGTGTGTGTGTGTAGACAGCACTTGTACATTTGTTACTGTGACTCTTGGCACTTGTGTAGTGACTCTGTGAGTGCATCTTATCAGTGAAGCATGGTGGAGACAGCCTGTTGGCCTCAGGCCTCTGTTTCACCCATCAGACCACACATAGGAAGGGAGAGGGGACAGGAGACAGGAGACAAGGTAACGAAGGAGCAAGGGTTGTGTGGTGGCACCTGCAAGCTTCTCCAAATCCTCCTAGATCATCTTTCTCATGCACTATATTTTTATAACTCCTATTGTTGCAGGAAGGCAAAGCTACCAGTCAGTCTACGCTCCAACCCTCACCCATGGTCACGAGCTGTGGGTAGTGACCGAAAGAATAAGATCACAAATACAAGCGGCCAAAATGAGTTTCCTTCACAGGGCGGCCGGTCTTAACCTTAGAGATAGGGCGTGGAGTTTGGACATCCGGGAGGGACTTGGAGAAGAACCGCTTTTCCTTCACATCACAAGGAGCCAGGTGAGGTGGTTCAGACATCTTATCAGGACGCCTCCACGGCGCCTCCCTTTGGAGGTTTACCAGGCACGTCCATCTGGTAGGAGACCCCGGGGCAGACCCAGAACACACTGGAGAGATTACCTCTCTCCTCTGGCCTGGGAACGCCTCGGAATCAATCATTTCCGCACAAGATTTTAGTATTTCGTTCGCTTTTAACGTCTCAAATAGTGTAATCTTGGTGCATCACTGAACACATCTTGAGGAAGAGTTTCCAGGTCTTCTTTTTACTCTTGGTTAATAATTCTTGGGTCAAGATTAGACTGTGTTTTCTTCTTGTGCTTGCCACACAAGATACAGACCCTGCTTTCCATTAAAACAGGTGGGAAGTTTCAGTGAGATCAGGCACCGTTTGGAAATATTGGCTTCACACAGTATTCAGCTCATAATATTCTTTGGGCAAGGAGGAAGAAGGAAGGAATGAAACAAGGAGAGGAGGAGTTCAAAGGGGAGATAGGAGAGGACCAGGTGGGGAACAGAGGGAAGTAAGAGGAAGAAAGGGAGTGAAGCTGATAGAGATCCGGGCAGACTGAAGCATCCTGAACATGCACAGCAGCTCCTCTCCCTCTCCGACTGATTTAAATATTGACCTCAGGTTATTACGAGCTTCTTAAATCAAATTACCAAGTGTTGGACTCCTGCCTGATACCTGATAGAGCCAATCAGGCGGCTCGTCCCGCTCCCCGAGCTGCACCACACAGCACTTTACATAAATTAAGATTAAAGTTGGGAAGTTTGGCGAGTTAGTTTAACCACGCAGTGACACTCGATCAAGATAGTTTGTGTTGGTGTCGATCCCCGGTTTAAGATCTGCAAAGCTGCATTTCCAGGTCATTTGAAAGTGAGAAAACTCAGCGTTGGAGGCTGGAGGGCTTTTATGTTACACACAGTGACACAGTGCAAGTTCCACACCAACAACTCTGTAGGTTACTTTGGAAAATAATTCATAAGAAGAAAGTTTGCAGGATCAGGAATTCATTTATGCATCAAGTATCAAGATATTTAGCATTCTGATATTCTCCTTAAATGTCTCCATAAGTGGCTCCCTTAGGAACTCCTTCTACATTCTTTGGTTTGGTGCAAGAGGGTGGATTCACTGAGCGTTGACACGATGAGGCTCTAATAAAATATGTGTATGTTTTATCACAGCTTGAGGAAAGAAAGCACGTACATATACACCGTAGTTTGTCATTAAAAGCAATGGAAAGGTTCCATAGATTTCACTAATTTCACTTTATAATTAGTTGTATTCAGTTTCTAAGGGTTTATCAACCTGTAGTCCTTGATGCTAATTGTTTTTTTATATCTAAAATAGTTGATTTGTATTGTAGTAATGTTTAATTTTAGTGTTTTACCAAAGTGCATTTTCTTGTCAGAGTTAAATTTAATTGGCAAATGAGGGCAAGTATTTAAAAGAAAGCATCAGTCAGACTTCACTGTTATGATTTTAAAATGTTCTTTATACACTTTTAATACTTTATAATACACTTTTCCCTTCCAGCTTTGTAATTCCTGTGTTTTTTGTGTAAATGACACATCAGTTTCCACAGTAAGCTTCTAACAAGTTTGACTTTGTGTCGCCGTGGACCGCTTTGAGCCGCTCATGAAGCCAACTGAGTAGAAATGATGTTATAATTGATGTTTTATCCAAACAAGTTCAGCCACACTGTGGTTCTTAAAACTGTTTTCTGACCTCCTTGCTTCTGAGCCTGCGTGCTATTGAAAGCTAATGTTGTTAATTATCACCAATAATCATGGAAATGACTGAAATCAGCCGAAATGAGTGCTCCTCCGAGCACACATGGTCACTGAATCCATCTTTTCTTTCATCCCAAAGTTGTTGAGACACAAAGTGAAAACAGCCCGACACGCCCCGCTCTCCTCCCTCCCACCTGCAACATCTAGAACAGCTAAATGAAATATGCAAATAATCACCGTCGATCCCAATAAGAAATAATTAACGCTGTGTGTGCTCCGTGGCAGCAGGTATTAACATGCCAAAGCGCTTCAAAATGTAATTTATAAAGTGAGTTTAAAAAAACCACTGAGCTCTTTCTGTGTCTTTGCCGACGGCAATCTGATGTTTCTAATGCACTGTGAGAGAGGGAATAAATTGATAGTGGTGGCGGAGAGCTTTTCTGTTTTAATTTTCCATTCCTGATATTTTTCAAATATTTAATTACGTGGATGGTAAAAGTGACTATGTAAAGTGGGTTTCTGCTTTTCTGTTTTTTTGAAACCACAGACGGGTTGTGTCATAGTACCTTGTTAAACATGGATATGGCATCGGTGATTATTAGAAGTGCTGGAATTTGATGAAAGTTGAAGGGAAGCGGCGACGGCGGTCGGTTAATGAGAAGACGCCTGGAGAGTCAGGAAATGAGTTTTCACAGACTGGTGGGAAAAAAGTTTGTTTCTCCTCCAGTTTCTGTTTTGTGGTTGAATGCAGAGGTGAAACTTATACTTGAGTGTTTTGCTGCGGATGTTCAGGTGTGAAGTTTTTATCACGATGCCGCAATAAGTCTTACACTTGAGGAAAGGAAGCTGGAGCAGCCGTACAATCGTCTGCAGGATCATTTTAAAAGACAAAAGTCTTTAGAAAATATTTGAGCTTCACAACAAGATGTTAGAGGTTAGAGGACAACCTGAAACAAAATGTAATAGTAGTATCTAAGTCAATTATTATTACCTTGTGTACAGAACAGTACTACTGGCTGTGGTGTGATTTTATTTTAGTTATCATTATTGTATATAAACTTAGAATTGTTATACATGTTTTCATGCTTAGAGTTAACCTTCCCCTTACATTCTGTTATACATGTTTTCATGCTTAGAGTTGACCTTCCCCTTACATGCTACATGCTACATGCTCACAGGCATAATAAAACACACCACTTCCCCTTCTAATGCCGTGTCCAGCTGTGCACATTCATCTTCGCTCTGTTGTCTCCCCCTGCACTTTGCACATTGTTGTCTCACTTGGCAAAACAAACACACTTATGTCTTGAACACTACAGGAACTTACAAAAATACAGCACAGCAGTACACAGCCTCCAGTCGAGCTTCGACAACACGGGTTCATTTCCCAACCAGATGTTTTACTGGGAGGGACATGAACACGCTGCTACATACTGCACCTCACACGTGCACGGTCATCATCAGCATGTCAGCTGCTTGTTTCACAACATTTTGTGACAGTTTCTTCAGAAAGATTAGGACCAAGAAGAGGACAGAGAGGATTTCATTTCAAAATAAGAGCATGAGAATGCGATGCACTTTTAGACTGAAGGAAATTTAGATGTTTTGAAAAAGGTCCTGTGTCTTACTGCTTTGTCTCATCTGTCTGCTTTCCAGCTGATTGAAAGGATGTTCTGATAGAGTGGACATGATTTATTTTTCATTACGGAAGGCTGATGAAGGAATTCTGCTCTGATGAGAAACCAGAAGCATGTTCACGCACAGCGATGCAGCCGTACAGTACTTCTTATGGACTGAACACAAATTAATGGGACACAGAATAAACATCAAACACACTTGCAGATGCACACTCTCCTCCCAGTGCTCTCAGAGCCACACCATCAAAACCACAGTTGGATATCATTTCACTCATTTGTATTCATACATCAAGGAGCACGCACTTACTGCACAAACACACACACACGCCCTCTCCCTCTCTTAGTTTCTGATCAAAGATTCTTCATCTTGTTCTTAAATAAAAGGCAACAAGCACCACTGGGCTGTAATTACACCTGAGCTCCTGATTTGGTGCCTGCACGTCTCTGTCTTACTGTCTGTTTGTGTCTGCCTGTTTCCTTGTTAATCCACTTTCATTCTTTGTCTTCTGCTCATTTCTTGTGTTGTCTGTGTGTTATGTTTTTTTGTTTTTGTTCTGAACTAATAATGAATCAGAATGAACAGTGAGTGTGTTTCCATGTCTTACGTCGTCTCATCCGGCCACAATATTTCCACTGATCTCCTGACTCAATTTGATTTTGCTCGACTAAGTCGGAATCGATTCATTTCAACTCCGTTTGGTAAAACACTTCTTCTGCATTCAACAAATGAGCAGCACTGCTGTTTCCTTGAACATAAAACTGTGTAAATTTCACACTATAGGCTAAATCATAGGCACATTTCCCAGTTGTAAATCTGTGGCATTTCTTTTCCTCAGCAAATGCAAAACGACTAAAAAGTAAGTGAACTCTTTGGAGTGATCTGCATTTGTGTATAAATCTGTCCCGACACATAGCTGAGAAGTTGAACAGACAGTTTGATGGTGTGTTTCAAGTTGGCGAAGGAGGAGATGAGAGTGAAGGAAAGAAGCAAAGTGATGGGCCGGACAGCGGATGGATGAGAGAAGTGAGGGTGGAATCAGTAATGCAGAACGGATTGTTGGAGAGACGGGATGAAAAATCAACAGCAGCATGAACGAAGGGAGGATGAGAAGAGGATGGATAAAGGAGGGTTTAAGTGTTGATCGGGACAAATGAAGGAAGGGAAGAACAGGAAGAGGACAGAAACAAGGAAACAAAGATTAGAAAGAGCAGAGAAGGACAGATGGAAGCTGGCAAACGAAAAGAAGATGGATGGACAAATACACAGGTGATGGGAAGAAAACAGAACAAAGAAAAAGGAGGGAGGGCTGGATGTAAGGATAAAAATGTCCCGATCCAGGTTCTGTGGCTCTGATACAGATCCAATTTCTTTAATCTTAAGTATCAGCCAATTTCAACTCTGAGCCAATATTTACAGTAAATGTTCATTAAATGTCTGACGTACTGAAACTGAAATGCATCTGTCACACTGGGACTTTCAGGAGCTTCTTGATCCAAATACTGGATCAGGTCCTAACTACTAACTAGGGCTGTTGTAGCACCACTGG